ATGTGCATCCTAGTGGAAGATTCTGGCATTATGGTGCAGATATAATTTTTTTTCTAATATTATCATAGGCAACTCTTCCTTTCCAAAAAACAGTCTGTGGTTACCAGTACATTAATTATTTACTTATGCTGTGTTGTAGCTGTGTTGGTTCCCAGATATTAGAGAGACAAGATGACCTGAAGAAGAGTTTTGTGAAAGCTCAAAAGCTTGTCCCTCTCACTAGCAGAAGTTGGTCCACTAAAAGATATTATTTCACCCACCTTCTCTCTATAATAATTTATGTCATTTAACTATCTGAGTATTTGATTGCTCCAATGTACATGAAAAACAACAGGCTCACCTGAACCCAGAAAACACCAATGTGATTCTAAGTGGAAGAGGAAAATGCTTTAAGGAACTGGCAAATATCAGTACTTCATCCTCAGGTGAAGTCAAGATAACACACAGCCTTTGGGTCATGCTGGACTCAGTACTGACTCTGGAAGCACCAACTGCAACAAGTTACTAAAAGTGGTATCTCTCCTCTCCAGGTAGCAAGAAGACTCCATCCATTCCTCAGGTGAATTAGCCAAGGTGGTTTCTGCACTTATCACCTTTAGAATAATTCCCTCTTCCTGGGCCAAGATAAGAAGTTCACAAAGAAGCAGGAGTTGGTGTAGAGTTCAGCCTGAGTGGATCATACCATTCATGCTATGCCAGTGCTCTTCAGCATGAACTGATTTAATCCTGGATTCACTTCACGTGTCTAGAACTGATTTACAAAACCCATTAATGAGATACGGTCATACTATCCGAAGGATTGCCTCTTCTGTTTGACAAGCCAGGGAAACTCATTGCTCAGTATCCTGTGACCAGCAGGGCCAAGTATAATCTTCAGGGAACCAGAGACTTACTCCCTTCAGCTGCTCTGTTTTTCAAAAGGGATAGAGAATAGTCTAACTGAAAGTCCAAAATGGTCATTAGTTTGGATTTTTCACTCTTTATTTTACTGATTTAAAAGGAAGTACTTCTTCACACATAGCATAGTCAACCTGTGGAATTCGTCGCCAGGGTATGTTGTAAAGGCTAAAACTAATACAGAATTCAAAAAATAATTAGATATGTTTATGGAGGATAAGTCCATCAGTGGCCATGCGCAGGGGGTCCCTAGGCCTCTGACTGCCAGATGCTGGGACTGGATGACAGGGGATGGATCGCTTAATAATTGTCCTGTTCATTCCCTTTGAAGCCTCTGGCATTGGGCACTGTCAGAAGACAGGATACTGGGCTAGTTGGACCATTGCTCTGACCCAGTATGACCATTTTTAGATACTTATGCTCATGCAAGACTCTGGAACACTCTTTCAAAGGTGATCAAGAAAAATCCAACTCTCATCATTTTCAGCTCACATTGCAAGTCACATCTTTGCCAAAGCCTTCCAAAAAGCAGAAGAGAAGAAAAATCCAACAGTGTGCTCAAAGTTAGAAGCTGTTAATTAAACTACAGAGTTGGATAATATATTGACTGCCCCCGTGGGACAGATTTCACTTTTTTCTGTAGTCCATGCACAGTATTTATACTTTATAGTGATTGGCAGCTGATGATAATATGTAGATACCTGCATTGATAGCCTCAAACTTAGTCTTTCTGAAATCAACTCCACTAACAACTCCATTATCCTTCCTGTTTCCCACATCTGCAACCCTGGTGTCATATTTGACATATTTCTCTTCCTTCCCCATATTCTGTCCCTTCATAACTCTGAAATATCTATTTAACATGATCAGAATATTCTATTTTCACTATCCCAACTACTTGCATTTGCATCCTTGGGGGACATTTTTCACCTTGACTATAGGAATCTACGCCTCTTCATCAATCCCATTTCTCACTTCATCTTCTAGTGCATCCAAAAGGCTCCTTCTACCTAATCCATCTGGGAATTTATACAATAATGAGAAGTATGGTATCTGAGTGCTTGCTAAAGTCACTTTCCTGTTGGGTTGATCTGATGTTTTTATGCCATCTCCTTGAACCACTTTACTTGTGTGACGAACTGGGCCTGTTCTCACTGTGGTCTGTGAATGCTGACAGGGGAGTGTGCTGGGATAGTCTGCATTGGAGAATGGGATCTGCCCGAGGGCGCATACCTGAATGTGTAACACGAGAACCCAGGAGGGGGTTGAAGGCCAGGTAGCTCCTTAGCCCGGGAAACTGGACAAAGGCTGTGGGAGGGGTCGCTGAAGGCAGAGT